TTCTGTTCCTTTTCCTCTTCCTCCTTCTTCCTACTCTTACTCCTCCTCCGCTTTCTCCCTTTATCCCACTCTCTCTCTCTCTCTCTCTCTCCTTCTCCTTCCTTCCTTCCTCTCCTTCCTCTCCTCCCTCCTCCCTCCCTCTCCTCCTCCTCCCTCTCCCTCCTCCTCTCCTCTCTCTCTCTCTCTCTCTCTCTCCTCTCTCTCTCTCCCTCTCTCTCTCTCTCTCTCCTCTCCCTCCCTCCTCCCTCCCTCCCTCCCTCCCTCTCCCTCTCCTCCCTCCCTCCTCCCTCCATCCTTCTCCATCTTTCCCTCCCTCCCCCCTCTTTTCTCCTCTCCCTTCCCCCACCTCCCCCTCTTTCTCTCCTCTCCCTTCCCTCCTTCCCCTCTTCCTCCTCTCCCTTCCCTCCCTCCTCCTCTTTCTCTCCCTTTCCTCCTTCTCTCCACAGGCTAGCCTCCTCATCTCTTCCCCCCATTTCCCTTCGAATTAAGATGCTGTGTTACAGTTTCTCGCCTCGTTTCAGCCTGTGTTAAGGTGCTGTGTTCCACCGCAGGTCTGCTCCACCTCCTGGTGAGGAGCGAGGAAACCGCGCAGCCCCTCAACTACGTCAGGGACTTCCTCCTTTGGACGAGGTGAGTGGAGGGCGGCGGCGGGAGGCGAGTGAGGTAGGGCGGGGGCGCTCCGCTGGGCCGGGCCGCCGGTTGTTGTTGCTGTTGGTGTTTTTGTTATTGCTATTTTTGTTTTTTGTTATTGTTTTTATTTATCATTGTTGTTTTTTTTATCATTTTTATTATTATTATTGTTTCTGTTTTTGTTATTATTGTTATTATTATTGTTATTGTTATTTTTTATTGTTATTATTGTTACTGTCATTATTGTATTTTTTTATTATTGTTATTGTTATTATTACTATTGTCATTATTATCACTGTTATTATTATTACTCTTATTATTGTTATATTTTTATTTTATTTTTGTTATTGTTATTATTGTTATTGTTAGATTGTTGTTATTGATATTGCTATTGCTATTATAGTTTGTTATTGCTATAATCAATCTTATTATTACTGTCATTGTCAATGATACCGTCACTATTATTCTTGTTTATTATGATTATTATTAATTATTATGAATTATTATTATTGTCGTTTTTTATTGCTGATATGATTGCATTCCTCGTACGTCGCTATTATGGTTGTTATCATCATATTTTCCATTATTATTATCATTATCATTATCTTTATTATGCACAAATGAAAGCCATATAAAAATAACATTGGTTTGTCTCTCCGTCGTGTAATGTGTGATTCCATAGCATGCTTATTAATGCAACTGATCTGAAGTGACGATCTCGCATCTGATAATTAATGTGTATGGCGATCGCATTAATTGTCTAATTGCTTGTCTGGCTTAATTTGTGGCTTATTTGCATATGTGCTTGATTGCTGTATGGGTGAGGTTGTTTTTATTTTTTTTTTTTTGGCTTATTGTTTATGTTATTGCTGTTGTTTTTTTGTGATTTTTGTTATTGGGTTATCTTTATTTTTTCTTATTGTTGTGATTCGTGTTGTTATCATTGTTATTGTTGTTATTATATTATTATTATTATTATTATTATTATTATTATTATTATTATTATTATTATTATTATTATTATTATTATTGTTATTATTATTTATTATTATTGTTGTTATTATTATTGTTATTATTGTTGTTGTTATTATCATTATTTTTTATTATAATCATCATTAATACTATGATGATGATAATGATTACTTTAATCACTATAGTTATCATTATTGATAACATTCTGTTTATGATAATGATAATGATGATAAACAATAATGATAATGATAATAGAAATAATAATGATAATGATAATAGAAATAATAATTATTATAATGATAATGACAACAATAATGATAATAATGATAATAGTAATAATAATGATAATGATAACAGTAATGATGATAATGATGATTATAGATTATTGTTTTATTAATTTTCCTGTTATTGTTATAGTTATTCTTAATATTCTTGCTATTATTATTATTATTATTATTGTTTTTGTTGTCTTTGTGATTTTTATTATCATTATTATTGCTATTATTATTAATATAATTTTGTATTTATTTTTTATTATTATTATTGTTTTATTTTATTATTATTATTATTATTGTTATTAATTATTAATTATTATTATATTATATTATTATTTATTATTATTATTATTATTATTATTATTGTTATTATTATTATTATCATATATTTTTTACCATTATCATTATTACTTTCATTATTATTACTTGGCCATTTTAGTTTTACTGCAGAAAAAAATATAGATTTGGTACAAAAATGAATGTGAAGCATGTAGAAAATAATGTACGAACGAGAAATGAACAAAGAAAATAACCAATGAATTAATAACTAACAAAAGTAATAGTCATGAGGAATAACATATATGGTTGATTTTTTTTTTTCTCATTCTCTTCTCGTTTGTTTCCTTCTCCTTCTCCTTTTCATCCCCTCCTTTTTTCCCTATTTTTTTCTTCGTCCTTTGCTTTCTACACTTCGTTATCTTCAACTTCCTTCTTGTTCTTTGTTCTCCTGTTTTACTTGATTTTCTTCTTTTCCTTGCCCTTCCTTTCTCTACATCTCTTCTTCCCCTTTTTTTCCCCTCCGTCCGTCTACTCTCCCTTCCCCTCTCCCACTCCCTTTCCCCTCTCCCCCCATCCTCTGTCTACTTCCTCCACCCCTTCCACCTTTCCCCACCACCATCTCCTCTTTCTTTCTCTCCTTCGCACCTCAACTCCTTCCCCCATCCTCTCCTCCACCTTTTCCCTCCTCCCCTCACCTTCCATCTCTCTTCTTCTTCTCCCCTCACCTCCCTCTTCCTTTCCTACCCCTGATTCCTTCCTTCGCTCACTCTACTATGTTCCTCCTTCTTCCACCTCTCATTCACCCTTCTACTTCCATCCTCTTCACCGTCTTCCCTTTTTCTCTCCTCTTCCCTGCTACCATCTCTCCTTCCTCCTCCAACCCCCCATCTTCCCTTGCTTCTCTCTCCTCCCCTCCCCAACCTTCCTGTCCTCACACTCCACCTCCCTCTCCCTCCTCCCTCCCTCCTCCTCCCTCCTCCCTCCTCCTCCTCCTCCTCCTCCTCCTCCCTCCTCCCTCCTCCCTCCCTCCTCCCTCCTCCCTCCTCCTCCTCCTCCTCCCTCCCTCCTCCCTCCTCCTCCCTTTCCCCTCCCTCCTTCTCCTCTCTCCTTCCTCCCTCTTCCTTCCTCCCTCCTCTCCTCCCTCTCCTCTCTCCCCTCTCCCCCCTCAAAAATCCAGGAGGAGGAGCATCACCCCCGAGGAGATCAAGGTCGGGTCCATGTCCTCGCTGGCGTCCACGAGCTTCTACCCGACCAAGACCTACGTCATCGTCCACGGGTTTTTAGGCAGCGGGACTGATGACTGGATTATCGACATGAAGAACGGTATTTTTATATTTATTTTTCTTCTTTCTTTCTTTCTTTTTAGCGAATATGAGAAATGGTGTGATGATGTGTTGTTTGAAGCGAATGAGGTGTTTTTTTCCGAAGGAATAATGTAGGGATATAAAGTTTAATGGAGACTTAGCCATTGACTTTAATTGGATTCAATTCCATGGGAGTGGAGTTTATTGATAAGTTCATTAGTTCATGTACAAGTAACTATATATATATATTATATATATATATATATATATATATATATATATATAATATATATATACTGATCTCTCTAAATCTAACACTAATTTGCTTATATTCTCTCTCAAACTAAATTAATTTTTAATTTATATTAATTCCTGATTTATAAATTTTATATTAATTTGGTGTCCCTTCCGCCCCCCCCCCCACCCCCTAACAGCCCTCCTCAAGCACGAGGACTGCAACGTGATCGCGGCCAGCTGGGACTCCGGCACGACCACCCTCGGCTACTACGTGGTGCAGGGCGCGCGTCCCCAGGTCGGCGAGGACATAGGCCGCCTCATCCGCTTCCTCCTGCACGCCACGGCCCTCACCAAGCCGCAGATCCACCTCATCGGCCACTCGCTCGGGGCGCACGCCGTCGGGGTTCGCCGGGAAGAGCTTGAACGGCACGCCTCGCCAGGATCACAGGTGGGGCACGGGGTCGCTGAGGGAGAGGGAGAGGTGAAGCGGGGATGGGGACGGGTGTGTTGGGATAGGGATAGGGGGAGGTAGGAGAGGGGGAGAGAGGGGGAGGGGGAAGGTATGGGGTGGGGGACGGGTATGTTGGAATAGGGGGAGGGGGTGGGAGAGGGAGAGGGAGAGGGGATGGAAGATAGGGGGAAGGGGATAACGAGGAGGAGAAGGGGATAGGAAGGAGGGGAAGGGGGATAGGAGGGAGGGTATGGGGTGGGGGACGGGTATGTAGGATAGGGGAAGGTGTGGGAGAGGGAGAAGGGGAAGGGGATAACGGGAGGAGAAGGGATAGGGAGGAGGGGAACGGAGATGGGGAAGGGGGGTAGGGGAGGAGAAGGGTGGTATGGGGAGGTGGAAGGGAAAGGATAGGAGGGATATAATTAAAGGGAAGGGTAGGTGGATACAGGTTAAGGGTCTGAGGAAAGGATGGTGAGGGATTGAGGTTAAGGAAAAGGGTTGATAGATAGATAGATAGAAAGAGGTTACGAATAGAAAGGAAATTAAGGGAGATAGAGGTGGAAGAAAAAGAATGAAGGAAGAAATTAAAGATAAAAGATAACGTTTATTCCTCCCATCTATTTCACATTAGAAAAAACAAAAATGGAGGGAACAGAGGTCGCGGGGGCCAGCAAAACCTCAAACTCCATATCAGAATGAGAGAGAGAGAGAGAGAGAGAGAGAAGAGAGAGAGAGAGAGAGAGAGAGAGAGAGAGAGAGAGAGAGAGAGAGAGAGAGAGAGAGAGAGGACAGAGACAGAAGAGAGAAAGAAAAAAGCAAAAAAGAGAGAACCGAAAGAAAAAGAGAGAGAGAGAAGAATAGAGAGACAGAGACAGAAAGAGAAAGAAAAAAAGGAAAGAAAAAAAAAGAAGAAAAAAAAATTAAGATTTCCCTCACCCCCTTCCTTCCACCCGCAGGCCTGGACCCCGCCGGCCTCATGTACCACACGACGGACCGCACGCAGAGACTGGACCGAAGTGACGCGGAGTTCGTCGACGTCATCCACACTCACGGCTGCACGACCATCCTGAACCAGTGGTCGGTGAGTGGTCGCGGTGTGTGTGGGGGGGGGATTGGTGGTGGTGTTTTGTGTTTGGTTGGTGTTATTGCTGTTATTGTTGTTATTATTGCTGCTGTTGTTGTTGTTGTTATTATCAACATCATTATTATCATTATTATTGTTGTTGTTACTATTCATTTTTGTTATTATTATCGTCTTTATCCTTATCATTGTTGTTATTTATTGTAATTATTATTGTTGTTATTCTTTACTTTACTTTCTTTTGATGATTACTAGTGCATGTAGGCTTGTTTATTTTGTCTGTATTTTCTGTCTGGATGGCTGGTTCTCGTAATCTGCCATCATCATTGTTCTCTCTCTCTCTCTCTCTCTCTCTCTCTCTCTCTCTCTCTCTCTCTCTCTCTCTCTCTCTCTCTCTCTCTCTCTTCTCTCTCTCTCTCTCTCTCTCTCTCTTTCCATCCCTTCCATCTTTATTTCCCCCCCCTCTCTCTCCCAAGACCTTGCTCACGCCCGCCTTTCCCTCGTCAGGACTGCTACGGCATCGACGAGAACCTCGGAGACGCGGACTTCTGGCCGAACGGCGGGGAGAGGCAGCCCATGTGCAAGGAGGGCGGCGACGGTCATCAGATGGTCAGGGGTGGGTGGCCCGCCGTGGGTTGTCGTTCGCGTCGCTGTCACACACGCACACACACACACACACACACACACACACACACACACACACACACACACACACACACACACACACACACACACACACACACACACACACACACACACACACACACACACACACACACACACACACACACACACACACACACACACACACACACACACACACACACACACACACACACACACACACACACACACACACACACACACACACACGCGTGCATGTGTACATGCATATAATGTATTCTTGCATCTGCAGTATACATTTAACTAATAGTTATTCTTTTCGTGTAAACGTTTTTTGCAAATTTTGCAAAATAACTTAAATAACAGTACTGAAAACAGCAACTCATTATTTCATTCTAAATAGCGAGAAAATGGGTTCAAAGTGATTCTTCGAATTCCAAGATTCAAAAGTTGCATCGCATTGAGCAATATCTTATGCAGATCTTTTTCAAAAATCTTGTAGAAAAGTGTTTCATTCTACACTACTTGATCGCAGTCATTTAAAAAAAATCTTTCATCAACTGCAGCCATTTCTTATTTATATATATTTTGTCTATTCCCAATTTCTCGCCACCAGAGGGCAGCAGCTGCGACCATGGCATAGCGTACGTCCTATACACTGAGTCTATTCAGTATGCTACCTCCACCACCCGGTTCCTCGCCCGCCCATGTCACTCTTGGAAGTACTACAACAACGGGTCGTGTCCGTGTGGGTCTACAGCTCAGTACATGGGCTTCAATGTTAATCCAAGGTATAAAGAAAAGGGTATAGGACGATGGTATTGGGTGCTTTGTGGATAACGAGAGCAGTAGAATTCGTGGTATGTTTTGATGGCGTATTTTGTTTAATGTTTTGTTGTTCTTCTCGTTTGTTTTTGGGGTCTCTTCCTCAACACGAGCAATACTTCACCTTACGCTCTCCTGGACTCTGATTGCACGCCGGCACACTTCTCCTTCTTGCAGATCATCGGTAAGTTGTGTGTGTGTGTGTGTGTGTGTGTGTGTGTGTGTGTGTGTGTGTGTGTGTGTGTGTGTGTGTGTGTGTGTGTGTGTGTGTGTGTGTGTGTGTGTGTAGAGAGAGAGAGAGAGAGAGAGAGAGAGAGAGAGAGAGAGAGAGAAATTCAGAGATCCAGAGACAGCAAATATGCCAAATAGCATAGTTGTAAACCACAATATTGAAATATTGAAATGTTTATTTACATTTCCGATCTTCTGTACCTCTTCCTCTGCAGAAAATAACGCATGTCTTCTAACATTTGTCTCCCGCACAGCACTGGTTCTCCTCTCGGTCATAACAGTTCTGATGACCTTCGTAGTCGTCACGACGGTGCTGCAGCAATATTTCCGCTCACCCATACTCTCTGTCCGGATCAGAGAAGCCTTCAGAATAGACACCACGATTATCCAAGGAGTCTCGCAGTCGTCGTCTACCCAAATCTTGACCGAGAGTGTGAAGGACCAGGTCATCACGTGAACCTCCAGGACGCCATTGAGAAAACGTCTCATCTTTTTCTCCGGATTTGAACGACGTCTCCGGACCTCTCGGTGTCGCCTCACCTGTTGCTGGGGATAAAGGGATTGTAGCCCGGGTCTTCTTCGGGTCTACGTGTCCTGCCTGGCCGCTTGCTAGTCAGAGCGCTTCATCAGCTGTCGCTTCGATGTGTGTGAAGAGGTCCTGGGTGTTGTACGCATCGTCTCTAATCACATACGTATTTTCTCGCTGGACTTCCGTTGAAAAAAAAAATTGCTCGTATTTCTTTTCTCACTTTCTGATATGTGATATTTACTACTCTGGGAATAGGTGAAGCGCTGACATCGTAAGAATTTGCCAGAGTAGGTGTAGCGATAACGTGATTATTATTATAAGCTATTTAATGTGACTTGGAAAGATCCGTTCCAGAACACAAGCGGCGTCAGTGAACTTGAGAGCAAAGATGTCTATGACCCGTGGGTACTTTATAGAAAACGGTTATTCAGTATTAAAGAATATCAGAAGTTTGATTGACAGTAAAAATGTGATGTACGTATTTTTCGGTTTGTATTACGGGGAACCCTGATTTTGCTGTATAAACGAAATATTAGGCAAGTTTACGGTTAGATTTTAGAAACGCTGCCTATAATGCGTTCAGTTACTGTTATATAACCAGATGCAATTCATAGTCTATTAACTTTGTGTATTTCTATTAATATATGTAGAGAGAGTTAATCATCGGACATTAGAATGCTTAATGTTTATTTAAAAAAACAACACATTTTACGCATATGCATATTTATGTATAACCCATGACAGTGTAACTATCACACCCAGCTACGTTGATACTGTTTGACACCAATGCACAGATGTTTCGTTGTAAATCCTCGATGAAGTTAGGAGTAAAACGCTTCTCCCAATGTCAGTCTTATTCGGGTATTGCTGCTGTATTGAAGTTTGTCCACACGAACGGGTATGATCGGCGGGAACTTTTAAATTCGCCTCAACCCGCACGCGCCCTTGTGCCACAGTTCGGCGAGCTGTGTCCCAACACTGGGCTACTAAGTATGCGTGCAAAATTGCATTGTTGATCACATGGTGAATTGGTGTCGGTGATGGTTAATACTGTAGGTTCTGATTGAAATATAATGACAAGAACAAACAATAATGAAAATTCAATACCTGTTGGATGGGCAGTGTATGGTAATTCTGAAGAGCAGCCAACACGGGCACCGTACCGGGTTGCCCGCGTGCCAACCCCATTAACATACAAAACTGCTTGTGTGGAAGGGCCTTTACTTAGTGTAGATCTTGCTAGTATTACTATTATAGCAACTTATTTTTGAGCTAGATAGTTATGATGGCATGATTTCTTGCTTGGTTATTTACAGCTTTCCATGTAAAGGAACTTTTTTTAACCGTCACTGCATGTAAAAGGCACCCGATGCTCTTTTTATGAATTATTAATTTATAATTTGTGATCGTTAGGTATTTGAAGGGACACTTTTATATCCCTTTGGCTCAGCTTATAGGTTCGCAGAATATAAACAATATAAGTTGTGCTGACAATACAGCATACTTGTTTGTGCTACTGTGTTCACTGTATAGCGAGAAAACAAGTAGGACAGCATACACCGTGGAATATATTGAAACTTCCCGAGTGCTTGTGTAAAGTCCGAACGCCAGCTTGTAAACGAGACAAACCAGTTTCTTCAATGTTTTATCAGAACCCGGGAGATGTACACCAGGAATATGCTGGATGTGAGAACTGTTAAACCAAGCTTTATTATGTATTTAGTCCGATTATGCTATACTAGATAATAATGAAAAGTTTCTTCCCTATGTTTTATCAGAACCGATTTCTATCTCTACATAATACCTCACATGTCTGAAATAAAGTATTGTGTACTTTATAATTTGTTCCAAGTTGTGGAAATGCACACAAATAAATAAAATTATTATAACTGATCCCTTGTGTAGTATTATCTTCCTTTGATCAGCTCGAGTGGATATCTCCTTGCGAATCTTAATAAAGCAGATTTTCTCCCTACAAAAGGGGACTCCAGCGAACTGCAAGTAAGTTTTCCTCATAATTTGGGCGATTAATTTGTTCATTGGAAACTTTCTGTCGTGTCAACACCTCTGGTCATTAGCAACATATTCAGAATATGGCGAGAGGGTGAGGCTTGGTCAAGGTAAGGAAATAGTTAATGCTTTAAACAAATAAATATATTAAAACACCAAAGGTCATGAAAAATTATGGTAAAGTATTGTGGTGAAAGGGGTTTAAAGGAGTTCTTTATTAGAACAAAAATGTCTTGGGTTTCAACGTTCATAAGGCATTACAAAATAGAATGGTAGTGAGAGGGGGAGTAAATGGGGTAAGACAGTAGTAATCAGTAGTTTTAATGTGTGAAAAGCGGGGTTGGTGATCGTAGATAAAGCGGCGGAACGTGCTAAGGCATCTGCGTATTCATTGCCGGTGATCCCGACATGGTTGGGTATCCAGTAAAACTTTAACTGTTTTCTGTCCTGTACACAGATAGAACAACTGATCTTGACCTTGAATCTTTCGGGCTATAGAGTTGATGGGGTGTATGAATGGTATGAGTGATATTGCGTTGCAGGAATCGGTAAAGATGGTGAAGGATGAGGAAGAGATCGAAAACATGCGTTGCAAAGCGAAGACGATAGCATATGCTCGATTCAGGAGGAAGGGGAAAGTTGTATGTGTGAGAAGAAAAGACCACGGCGAAACAAGTCCCGAGGTGGATTTGGAGCCGCCTGGAATGACATGGGTGCTGGAGGACATATATGTAAGAAAATGTGTGAGGAGGATAGGTGTAATATTTAATATGGGTGGAACTGGGAAAAGAAGAGAAACAATTGCAGTAGGAAGGTATTAGCCAGGGTGAGAAAGATTGGGCGGAAAGAGGATGGGATTGGAGATGAGGAAAGGGTGAATGGGAACGTAGAGCGTCCATACAAACACGGAAAGGGGTAGGTAAACGTGGAGAGGAAGAGAAGGTATAACGAAGGAATTGAGGGATAGTTAATTTGGAGAGAATATTGGCGAAAACGAGCATAGCTTCTTATAGAAAAAAAAAAACGGCGTCGAGAAAGGAATAGCATTCCTGATTCAGTATTCTGGCTCTCAACTGGGGAGGAATGAAAGGCGCCTCTGGCTCAACAAAAACCGCAATGGTGGATTGTGCCAAGGCGTGTGAGAAAGGAGATAGAAGAGGAATATATGACAGCGATAATCAGGGACGGAAAGGATTAGGGTAATATAGTAATGGAGGAGTGTTTTGCGGTCTGGGAAAGTCTGCAAGAGTCGGAGGCGGCAGCGAACTCTTACTTTAGCAGAGGATATGATCTCGCCAAGACAGTTTGGAGTCAAATACGACACCAACTTGTCCGAAGGACGGAATTAGATGAGTATCATACAGATAGAGTGGAGGTTGGGAGCCTAAACGTAAACGAGAGAAGAATGATGGAAAAGGTTTTATAGGCAGAAAATCAAAAGCCATGGTTGGTAGCCCAAGAGGAGATTGAGGTAATTGCAGACCAAGACCAAAGGCAAATTGGCTAAATCATCTACGCGTAGTGATGGCCAGATTCTGCGTGGTAGAGCTGAAATTAATCCGTTTACAGTTATGAGAAATACTGTGGTACCGAGCACACGGACTTGTGGGAAACCTTCGAATTATGGGAAAGAGGAGGTAGTAGCAGCAAATCTGACACGGGAGGTAGGAGAGAGGAGACTTAATGAAAACATCCATGTTTCTGCGTTTCCCTTGCGGAGATAGTTGAAGAATATGGTTATGCCATCATGTTGTATATGGCTTCTTTAGATCGATATAGACATGCAATCATGTTGTATATGCCTTCTTTAGATCGATATAGATATCCCATCGTGGTGTATATGCCTTCTCTAGATCGAAAAAGACCGCCGATTCTGAATCACGGCGTCATCTAAATGCTGATGAGATTTGCATTTCGAAATAAGCAAGAGGATCAGCTGAGCTTCAGCCGCGACGAAATCTAAAGCACATTAGCCTAATGCTAACCATCCTTTCTAATAATTTACATTGGCAGCTTGCGGGTCTTATGGGGGCAGTAGTCTTGAGGAAGGTTACCAAGTTTGGTTTTCGAAAAGGGCTTCACGCCAGTGGGAAGGAAAGGTTCCGGTCGTTCATGTTATTGAACGTTGACAAGAGGAGGGACAATGAAGGAGACGAAAAGTGTCGTAATATACGATAATATATACCGTCTGGGCCTTCGTGGGTGTTGCAGCATGACATATGCATAATAGATTTCAGGAGAAAAAGAGGCATTATAGGATTCTGTAGAGGACAGGGAAGAGATAGGCGTGCGCTCTTTGTCAAGAGAAAATAGAAGAAAGGTGCGATCCGCTGCTGACCTGGTAAACAGGCACCAAATTCAGTTAGCAACTTGAAGAGGGCAAGAGATGAGGCTTTTATGGATATGGAGGACGCGGGCATGATGAGGATTTACTAATCTATTGAGGATTTTCAGCCGCGTCAACATCTAAGGTCATTATCGGCGTAGTCAAAATTTGGCGATAGTGAGGCTCGGGGTCGAAGCTTCCAGGGAAGGATAGGTCATACAACACTATGATACAGCATTGTGACGAAACAATTAAATATGAGAACAATTGGGGCAAAATATGTTACACATCAAAGCTTGCAGAGCGCTGTAGGTTAGTATGGTAGTGAAAAGTGTAAAGAGGGAAGAGCAATCGGAGTACGACACAGGACTGACAGTCAGCCTTTCATCACGACTCTCGCACTTTCGGATGTGGAAAGAAGAAAAGAAAAAGGAGAAAATATGCAAAATTAGTTGTGGCGAGGGCTGATGTCCAAGGTAGGGGTGATCCCCTACATTGGGCCTCAGTCTCCGTCTCCTGAGCACTCGCCACGATATTACTTTGGCGATATCTAATCGTACCCGAATACTTAATTTCCATTTAGTCTTAGGTACTTCCTGTGTTACATACACATAATGGTTAATGGTTAATAGTTAAAATAAATGTGCTAGACATCTAAGGTCATATAGCACTACAGGAAGGTATAGTAAAGGTGGATAGTTGCTATGTGTCAACTATCTAGAGTAGTGTTGAAAGGTTGAAGATGGGGGAAAAGGTTATGGTGGTTTAGGTAAGGGAGTTAGATCAAGTGAAGGATATTTATGCGTCTGAGGAAGGAGAACAGGTTGTCAAGCAGAAGCTGTGGGATTCTGTAAGGATGTCTGATATGTTGGGAGGTTGGTGAAGGGAGGGTAGGTGTGGAAAAGTAGAGATACGTGCTGTATTAAAGCGTGGACAGGACTAGAGAATGTGTGGAACTGAAAGAGGGACGTTACATAGAGGACATAGGGGCGGGTCTGCGCGTGACCTTAGATAGGCGTGTTAGGCGAGTGTGACCAATACGTAAGCGTGCGAGGGCCGTCTCCCAACGTTTGTTTTTGTGAAATGGAGCTGACCAAGAGGAGACTGAAGGTTTTACTGTATGTAATTTATTGTTGTGGAGTCTTGACTAAAAAAATTGCCATCGAGTATACAAGGTTTTAAAGTGGGGGTAATAATCCGTAGCTGGAATATGTGAGAAGCGTAGTTGAGGTGATGTGGACATTGCGGCATAGCGTGCAAGAGTATCTGCTTGTTCATTGCCAGGGATTCCAACATGGCTGGGTACCCAGCAAAATCTGACAGATTTGTGACGTGTGGACAGATAGAACAATCAGTTCTGGATCTTACAGACAAGGGGATTAGTCGAGTGTATAGACTTTATGAGGGTTAAAGAGTTACGGGAGTCGGTAAAAATAGTAAAAGAGGAAGAGGGGGATGAGTATATGCGTCTTAAGGCAAAAAGGAATGCATACAGTTCTGTAGTAAGGACACTAGATTCAGGAGGGAGGGTGTATTTGAAAGTGCAGTTTGGGAATGTTACTGCGAATCCAGCTCCTGAGATGGATTTGGAACCGTCAGTGTAAACATGAATGCTCTAGGAATGAATGGAGACATGGTTAAGGAAATGAGCGAGAAGGATAGAGGGGGGAATATCTGATTTTGGTGGGTTAGGTATAGGTATAAGCCATGGAGGAATGGAATGGACAGAAAGTGGGAGAGGTCGGAGGTGAGGAAAGGGGGAATGGGAGAGGTCGGAGGTGAGGAAGGGGGAATGGGAGAGGTCGGAGGTGGGAATGGGAGGTCGGAGGTGAGGAAAGGGGGAATGGGAGAGGAGGGTATCCATGCGTACGGGGAGAGGAGTTGGTAAACGTGGAGAAGAGGTAAAGGTATGAGGTAAGGATTGTGGAATAGTTAGTTTGGTAAGGGAAAATTGGTGAAATCGAGCATAGTATCGAAGAGAGAGAAGTGCTCGACGTCGAGAGAGGGACGGGCATGCCAGATATATATAGGCTCTCAACTGGAGAGGAGCGGAAGGCGCCTAGGGCTAAGCGGAGACCGCTGTGGTGGATTGTATCAAGGTGAGCAAGAAGAGAGGTTGAGGCAGAGGAGATATGGCATCCATAATCTAGAGTGGAGAGAATCAAGGTAACACGAAGATGGAGGAGAATTTTGCGATCTGAGCCCCAGGAGAGGTGTGAAAGAGTTTGTAAGATTTGGAGGCGGCGTTGAGCTTTTTCTTTGATGTATAAGTTATGGTCTCGCCAGGACAATTTGGAATCAAATATAACGCCTAGGAATTTGCCAGAAGAACGGTATTGGAGTGGAGCGTTATGTAAGAAGAGTGGGGGTTTGGGGACCGTGCATGAGCGAGAGAAAAGGATGGGGAAAGATTTAGAGGTAGAAAAGCGAAAGCCATGGTTGGTGGCCCAAGAAGTTACTGATGTTATTGCAGACTGAAGGAATTGACAGATCTGGTATGGATGTGCCAGATGCATAGATGGTTAAGTCATCAACATATAGTGTTGTCCAGGCTCCTGGTGGTAGGACTGAGGCTATGCCATTTACAGCAAGAAGGAATAAAGTGGTACTAAGCACACTTCCTTGTGGGACACCTTCGAATTGAGGAAAGGATGATGTGGAAGAGGCAATTTTAACCTGGAAGGTACATTTAGAAAGGATTTGATGAAAACGCCTATGTTTCCACGTAAACCTAAGGAGGACAATTGTTGGAGGATATGGTATCGCCATGTGGTATCATATGCACTTTCTAGATCAAAGAATATGGCTAATACGGATTCATGGCGTGCAAATGCCGATGTAATATGTCTCGAAATGGGCAAGTGGGTCTGCTGTACTTCGGGCACGTCGGAAACCAAACTGGGAAGGGGAACGGAGATTATGAGATTCAAGATACCACATTAAGCGGAAGTTAACCATTCGCTCTAGTAGTTTGTACAAGCAGCTAGTTAGAGCTATGGGGCGGTAATCTTAGGTTAGGGTACCTGATCTATTGGGTTTTAAGAAAGGTAGGATAAGAGCATCTCGCCAATGAGAAGGAAAATTTCCTGACGTCCATATGTGGTTGAAAATAGTTAAAAGGAAGGATAGAGAAGAAGATGGGTGGTGTCGGAGCATACAATAGTGAATACCATCAGGGCATATACACACACAGATGTACTGTAAAACAATCTACAATACTCTACTTCTACAATATATATATATATATATATATATATATATATATATATATATATATATATATATATTTTCAAAACAAATGAACTCCTTCCTTTCCTTTCTCTTCCACACTATAACACACAACATTTGGAGTTATGGATAAAGTAACTGACCACAGAGGTTGAGGGTCTTCTCAGGGACTTCAGAAACGAAAATAAAACATACGTATAAACATTTAATTTATGTTTCTAAACAGTCATTGACATAACTACTTGCGTAGTTACAATTGTTTCTGGAACATATTAAATACTGAGATAGGAGGAAACGTGCAATTTTTCCCAAACTGCTGAACAGTTTGGATAAGAAAACAATATATCTTTGAGCCATAAACTTAACAAGGTAACTTTATAAATCAAGGGGCCATTTTTTTTAAAATGAAAAATCAGAAAAAAAAGAAAAAGAAAGAAAAAGAAAAAAGAAAAAAAAAAAAAAAAAAAAATATCCACAAGCTTTGCACCAAACTCAAATTTCAAAATATGTTATCAATGGTACAACCGAAACTGCTATCTCATCTATGTACACAAACTATTATGTAAATACTTTAGAGAAACAGATTTCTCTTCCTATTTGCACCAAATAAAATGTTGGGGTTATAATCACAATTTTTCTTTTCCGTCAAAAGTGGAAATGTACAAGTATGTATAACCCTAACAATATCTATGGCTGCAGTGCATAGAACAAAATGAAACCTTTTCTTTCTTTTTTTAGTATTATAGCAATAACTTCTAAAAAAATACAATTTTTTAATTCTCCTATCTGACAATCTATAGCCCTAAACGCCCTCCCAGACTGGACTTTCTCCTTCGTTACAGGTTCACAAAACCGAGGAAATTGTTCACACTGAGACCTTGTCGGGCTCACTGCACTTCCGCAAAAGCTAAGACCTGTAGCTCAATTACAGATTCAAACACACAAGAATGTGTCACTAGCAAAAAAACACTTCCTTGTCACTTTGAAGTTTGCCACTTTACGCACTCTCTTCTTAAACATCAACAAATAAACAACTCCCACACAGTAACGTATCTGCTTTGTAAATATATATATATCACATGAGCTTCCACACACACACTAATTCATGTGAAACCACCAGCAGAGAGTTGTGTGGCTGCATCTCTGCCCTTGGCCATTCTCTAACAGTTATCCATAACTCCGGGCAGCCCATGGATAAAGGTCTGATTTGCCTGAAGGTAGGTGGGGTGGGGGGGAGAGGTGCTTCACATGGGAAACGGTTCTATCAATCCGAGTCGAACTTGATGGAGTTGACAGCCGTGTCCAATATGCCTCCTCGGTAGGAGCCTTTCTTCTTCTTGTTCTTTTCATGACGGAAAGTTTTTCCTCGAGTGTCCTTGAGGGTTCTGTAGGCACCTTCACCCCAACATCCTCTTGCACCTTGCTGAAAGGAGAACAAATGGTGGCATTACAATGTGTTCTTGTCCAACCTCCTTACAGTTATGCATAAAAAAAGGTTCTATACTTCATTAAAATATGAAGCCCTTTTTTCCCCATCAACACAGGGCAAGATCTGATAAGAAAGCTGTTTTAGTCTTTTTCCAACTTGTATTTCAAATTCACATAGATAAGTATTTAGACAACTATTCTAAGAGGAAAAGCCTTCTCTGATCACCAATAATACTTTACTGCCAAACAATTGAGATTTTCAAGTAAACTATCACTTGCCACACAACACGCAACATTACCACAAAGAAAGAGAAACTTACTATCATCTCTTGCCCTGTGTCTGGGAAGACTGCTGTTTAATCGAAAGTAATCTTCTTGTTTTCACCAGTTCCTTCTGCATTCATCCCTAGGCCTGGGCTCTTATTGAATCCCCCCCTGAAGCCTCCACCCCTCGCTCTATCCCCACGTCCTAAATCCACCACGTCCCTGTTACCAAAGCCACTCTAGACCCCACTCTCCAAAGCTTCTGCGACCTCCAAATCCTCTTCCACGCTCATTTCTGTTATTGAATCCATTGGTATCACCATCGCGATCTCCGAAGCTCCTGCGGTTGCCAAAGCCTCTGCCTCGTCCTCCCCTGAAGCCACCCTCTCCATCTCCCTTGAATCCTTCGTTGTCCCCACCATCTGCACCATTGACATCATCATCACCACCAAAGCTCCTGCGGTTGCCAAAACCACCGCGTCCCCCTCGGAACCCATCACGGTCACCGCCAAAGCCACCACGTCCCCGTCGGAACCCGTCACGGTCACCCCCGAAGCCACCGCGGCCGCCTCGGGATCCTTCACGGTCACCGCCGAAGCCACCGCGTCCCCCTCGGAAGCCACCTCGGCCCCTACCCCCTCGTCCTCCTCTGTCCCGGTCACCGCCAAATCCTCCTCTGCCTCCTCTACCCCCTCTAGAGTCCCCCTTGAAGCCCAGGCCCGCACGGAACGGTCGGTTGTTGAAATCATCTTCCTCCTCTTCTTCCTCTTCATCACCCTAAAAAGAGAAAGAACTAGGATAGTATCATGGTTAAACAAAAAAACCCAATGAATTACCTTGGCTTCAAAGGAGTTGTTAAACTTAGGGTTGATCTCCATTTCCTCTGCCCGTACCCTCCTGAAAGGTTCTTTCTGTAGGACGAAAAAAGTGTGAGTAAAAAGTGTGAGGAACTCCTTCAAAAATATACTCCGTCAAACACTCAAGTTGTTCACTGATGATATCAAATACAACTTACTTTGACTTTACCACCTGAGGTATTGAGTGACGTATTCAGAGATCCATTCCAGGAAGTGTTATGAGAATTCTGCAATGGCAAAATGTCAGATATATTTGGAGACAAATAAAAAAAGAAAAGAAAGGCCAAAGAGAGCTTCTTGAAGTTTTGCTTTAGATAACACGCCAAAATAGGTATACCCTTAACGTAAAAAATAAAAATGACAAGGAAAACCACCCTTGCTTTGGATCCATTTCATGCTACAGCTAAATTATACACATTGTCACGCAAAATGTACTGATAAGTCAAATGTGAGCTAAACATTACATAATTATTACTACTGAACTCAAGCCTTGGGGTGAAGCATTAGTACAAGATCTTTGGATTATTTTGAACTTTGATTTAAACGGAATGGGTTATTAAAGAACAGGTTCCTTTGTAAGAATTACAAAAAAATATGCATCACACATCATATTCTCTTCTTAACTCATTACCGCCGGTATATTTTGAAGCCGAAAATAAATTACGGGCGGCTACAAAATCGGCGCGCGGGGCTGGCCTGGACTCTGCCTGCATGCCGGCTACAGCCCGCTGCTGCGTCGGAGCACGAGCCCCGATACAGCATCACACTGGTGGGACGCCCGGCAATGTTTATTTTTTCGGGTGTCTCATATGTGGGACACGACGTTACTGGGTTAAACAGAAACACTTTAACCCAAGAAATATATAGTTCAGGAAATATATACAGCTTATAGACATTTCAAGATGTGTAACCATTATATAACCTATTGGCCAATTCTGAACACATTAAACCTGGTCTTTCTCCAAGATTTATGCTGTTGACTGCATTTAAAAGAATAAGCATCAGTGATCTTGGTATTTCTTCCTAATCCTTCCTGCCATAAATAACACTGGTTATAGATATTTTAAATGAAACCTAATCTCAATATACACTTGACAAATAGATATGTTTTGTTTAAATTTTACTACTGATATGTATTGTTGTCAAAGAAGCATGACAAAATTCCTTAACTATGTGCCCATTAAAGCAAAGCTTCCCTTGCATCCATCTTTATAATCAGACTTAATTTTGATGGATTACAGCTGTACTAAACTTTTCTCAGCAGGCTGTAGTTCAATCAAATCAAATATCTACAAGTTTAAGTTTACATTTCTCCCCTTTGTTCACTTAAATATTAGCACCTGAATACCATTATTGACCTTAAAGGAGACAATTATACAAACACCTGGCATAAGACAAATCATCCCTTTCGGTAAGGATCTAAAGCGTCACTACCACAAGAAACATCATCTCTGCCATACCTCCACTGTGCCATTGGTCATCTTTGCTGCTGGAGTCTTCACAACTGGAGTCTCCTCTTCCTCCTCCTCGCTGGTGGACTCCTCAGAGCTAGACTCCTTTGCAGCTTTCTTGGGTGCAGCTGCCGGCTTGGCTGCTGGTTTGGCGGGTTCTTCATCATCTGAGCTGTCTTCTGAGCTAGACATTTCCTTCTTAGCAGGGGCAGCAGGCTTGATCACAGGCTTGGCAGGTTTTTCATCAGAATCAGAGTCTGAGGAGTCTTCTGAGCTACTTTCTGCCTTCTTGGCTGCAGCAGCTGGTTTTACAACTGGCTTTTGCACAGCTGGCTTGGCTGGCTCATCATCCTCATCTGAGCTTGATTCTTCAGAGCTGGATTCGGCCTTCTTGGCAGCAGCTGGCTTCTGCACAGGGGTAGCTGGCTTCTTCACTGCTGGTTTAGCTGGCTCATCATCCTCAGAACTAGATTCTTCGGAACTGGAAGATTCTGCCTTCTTTGCAGCAGCTGCAGCAGCTGGCTTCTTGGCAGGAGTGGCAGCCTTCTGTGCAGGTGTGGCTGGTTTCTTCACAGTTGGCTTTGCAGGTTCATCCTCCTCAGAACTAGACTCTTCTGAACTGGATGATTCTGCCTTCTTTGCAGGAGTGGCAGCCTTTTGTGCTGGTGTAGCAGGCTTCTTTACAACTGGTTTAGCTGGTTCATCATCCTCTGAACTAGATTCTTCCGAACTGGAAGATTCTGCCTTCTTTGCAGGTGTAGCAGCCTTCTGTGCAGGTGTTGCTGGCTTTTTCACAGCTGGTTTGGCAGGCTCCTCATCTTCAGAACTAGATTCCTCTGAACTGGAAGATTCTGCTTTCTTTGCAGCAGCTGCAGCAGCTGGCTTCTTGGCAGGAGTAGCAGCCTTCTGTGCAGGTGTTGCTGGCTTTTTCACAGCTGGTTTGGCAGGTTCCTCATCTTCAGAGCTAGATTCCTCTGAACTGGAAGATTCTTTCTTTGCAGCAGCTGCAGCAGCTGGCTTCTTAGCAGGAATGGCTGGTTTCTTGGCAGCTGGCTTTGCAGGTTCATCATCTTCAGAGCTAGATTCTTCCGAACTAGATGATTCTGCCTTCTTTGCAGCAGCTGCAGCAGCTGGCTTCTTTGCAGGTGTGGCAGCCTTCTGTGCAGGTGTAGCTGGCTTTGCAGGTTCATCATCCTCTGAGCTGGACTCTTCCGAACTGGAGGATTCTGCCTTTTTAACTGCAACTGCTGGTTTTGCAGGAGTGGTAGTTTTCTGTGCAGGTGTGGCTGGTTTCTTGACAGCTGGCTTAGCAGGTTCATCCTCCTCATCAGAACTTGACTCTTCAGAACTTGATTCAGCCTTCTTTGCTGCAGGCTTGCTAGCAGGTGTTGCAGGTTTGGCTGGCACTGGAAATGTTCAATATTATGAAAGCTTTTAATTCCACACATACGCATTTTGAGCTATGAAATAAATAGCAATTTTTTCCCAAGCAATTCAGGATAGAAAAAACTAAAGATCATACCAGCTTTGACAGGTGCCTTTGCAGGGGCTTCATCTTCAGAACTGCTCTCTTCACTACTACTCTCAGAGGGCTTCTTGGGAGGAGCCTTTGCTGCTGCCTGAAATTAATATTCAAGTGTCAGAAGAATGTCAACAAGTGAAGAAAGAAGGAAAGAAAGAAAGAAAAAGAAAAAACCTGGCTAACCATGCTCTTAATGCTATGGAAATTCTGAAAGTATAACAAAGCATCACTGCACCTACAGCAAGAGGTTGAAGCCCTTTACCTTGGGTGTGGCAGCTGCTGCTGGGGCTGCTACAGCAACCTTCTTCTTGGGAGGTGCATCAGAATCGTCTGAATCCGACTCGGAATCCTCAGAAGAACTTGACTCTGCCTTCTTCGGTTTTGCTGCAGCCTTCGGTCCTTTGCCATTAACGAGAGGGGTTGCTGCCTTCTTAGGAGGAGTTTCATCCTCTTCTGAAAGTTCATTTTCTCCTATTAATATATCTATTCCCTTAGTATTATCAATATTTTTTTTGTCTTTTAAACTTAAATGACAGTAAATGATAAAATCCTTAAGACATATTACTGCATTTCAAATTGCTGATTACAAATCTTATCAGAGAGGTTAATACTCGTTTGGTAGTTTCCTCATCCATGTACCTATACTATACGCTAACTATCTTAATTTAACCCCCTCCTCCCCCCTCTCTCAGGGACGGTCCCCTTAATGGAAAAGGAAAAGCAAGTGAAACTTATTCTTCCAGTTCTGACACTATATTTGAAATATCTGTAAAGGTATGGGTGCATAAGCTTTTGCTTTCTTATAAATAAAGATATTATTACCTGAGCTTGAACTAGATTCTTTGCGGGCTTTCTTGGCTGCTGGGGTTTCAAAGCTCAGTCGGCGTTTGTTCGGTGAGGTTCTGCAAATAGAATTTAAGTGTTATTCTTTGTTGTGGTCTGTCTCACTAATACACAAAATTCCAAAATAATTCTTACAAAGCATACTAACCAAAATCAACAATATTGTTACTGAAAATACAACAACAGCTAATGTGTGCAATACAAAAGCAATCTTCTTGGTTCAATTTTATTATTAACCATCATATCTTCGGGAACACTTTAGAAACAGGTGAAACAATACTAATATCAATTGAGGTATTAAACCTTTAAAGGATGGCAACACACAAAGAACTTGCACAAACAAAAAGGAAAACTCTCTCATTTACTATCTACTTTCATGCACAATTGATTCATTATTTATATTAGAGAAAATACTGACAGGTTTTTTTTTCATCAGACAGCTTTAGCTGGATTTCATCCAGAGCACAAACACACTAGAATTGAGTTACTTTCCAGGACTAAATTACTATGTCAAAACTATGAACATATCTGAAATTACTCTTGACATCATGTTCTAAGATATATCAAACAAATGTAGATATTACAAAAAATATTACAGAACTCTCACATAAACAAATTTACAAATGAAGGTACTTTACAGCTCAAACTGAAAACAAGACATCACTTGACTTACTTGAGGAAATGTTTGACGATTTCTGTGACTGATGGGGAGCTTTTTGTTAACTTTGGCTGAAAAGAAAAGAAAAAAAAATGTAAACAAAGTCTTCACAGACTTCTTGGCCTAATTCTCTTGCTGATACAATGTGGTGCAGAAATCCTCAAAAAATGGAAGTAATCATCAAGTGTTTTCTGCACCTTGCTATAATGATAAATGTATGAATCTTATTATTAAAGAAAAGAAAAAGAAGTAAAGAAAATAAATGAAATGAAATTAAGGTGGTTTCTCAGCAGCCAGCAGACTTTTCCCAATGAGGCTGTATTTTGAAGTTTACACTTGCAAGTTGTAAATCTACACAACTAATTTGATGCTATAACTTTACCAATATTAATCCACACCAATCTTTAAACCCCTTGGATCCAGTTGCTTCATGGCAATCATATGCCTAAAATACAGGCATTAGGCTTACATGAGCAGCCACTCTGGCAGGTGTGTGCTGGCTTGGCTGGTGTACGGGAACGCTCACATGCGGTGACAATTGCCACATGCAATATTACTTTGACTTTTTATGCAATAGTGTTTTTAGCTTTTTTTGCCATTCTCCAAAGTGAATTTTGTTATTAGGTATGCTTTAACTTTACGGTGAGAGTTTTTCCATATAATCTCCAAGTAGTGCATAACTCCGTGCAAGAAAAAGACAAAAAAAAGGAACGTTTGTCAAAGGTCATTTCTATCAATTTTTTGTAATATTCATTCTTCTGTAATAAACAGCACCCAGGAACAAGATGCTGAGCATGGAATTGACATCCTCTCTGGAGCAGGCGCTCTTCCAGTCTTGGCGCATGGCCATTATATTCCACACTTGGTTGTGGAAAAACCTCCAAGAGGTTTTTACACTCATGGCGATTCTTTTCCGTCACCAAAGCCTTCTAAAATGCTCATGATTGTGATGGTCATATCATCCAGATATATGAGGTTAAATTGTTCTTCTGAGCCTTTCTGCCTCTAGATAAACAGAACAGGAAGCACTGAGACTTGCCTGTGGGAGTGGAGATTTCAGGCCTTAGACAATGAATTATGGGCTTGTGTATCTGATTAAGAAACTCCCACCGAACCCTTTATCATCCACAAGACCATACATATCCAATGCATTACACTTTTCATCTATGGCATTTCCTTTACAAGTTGATATTAAGGACATTGTGCAACATGCAAGTAATACTGCAGTATATATCTATATAATGACTGCACTAAAATGGGGAAACTAATGACAATGTCAAAGAAATGGAAAAAACTACACTCACTGATACATGAAATAATTAGCAGAGGCAAAGAATAAAATCAGAAATGAAGAAAACAGGTCATGACAAATGCCACAGTCATAGTCCATGCCAATCTGATGAGGTCCAGGGACCAAAGCCCAAAGGACTTTGAATTATATAGCAAAGTTTGTGGATATCCAGGAGCCCCCCTAAGATACTGGCTTGAATAACAGTCTCAGAGGTGCAGTCACTTTCAAAATAATTACCAATACTTTAACTTGTTTCCTGAACCAGTGATTTGCAATGGAAAAATATGGACAGATTTGTTGATACTAAACCATAAGTAACTGGAATAAAAATCTAAATATCTAAAATTTTGATAGCAACACAAAATTCATTAGATAAGCCATAAAAATCGCAGCATCAGCGAGCTCAGCAAAATATGGATCTCATGAGGATAATGTGTAAAAACGAGAAATTCACGGTGCTAATGCTAAGCACTGACCATAGGACAGACATGGTCTTGCACACAATAATGAAACAAGTCAAACCTGGAGCAAACAGTGATACACGCACTGCATGCGGCACATTAACACGTAGCCGATGGGTGGCATGTACGTACAACATGCCATGGCTGTTGTGGACAGAAAGACGGGTGGCATCGTGTCATGCCCATTCCTGCGTCACTGGCTCATCGGACAAAGTTTGTTTTTCTCCGATAGTAGCGCCTTCATTTATATATATAGGTAAAGATTTTAGGGAATGGCACCTATAATGAAGGTAACCCTTCAATATTTTCATATTTTTATAAATTATAGCAAAATAAAAGCTTTTAGGTGCTAAATGTCGCTCGCAAACTACCTATCGAGCTGGGCGCAAACAGGGAAACTGCCGATGCGCGTCAACAAGCCTGTCCATATGTCCACTTGCCAAACATTTTTGCCCATCGGCAATGGGTTAAAAGGTCATGGATAGGAGTACATCGCATGATATAATAATAGGACAAACATCAACTCGGAGAACCCACATATTTAGAATCAAAACATAGAAAGCCTGTAGCTTTATAGTATAGGGTATGTGAAACTACCTGGTATATGTGAGGTGTATGAAAGATAATTTGGACACTGCTTGTTTTATCAAGTAAAAATATGCATTGCTCCTCAACAAGTTGTAATCCTTTAAGGAAGGAAAGCAAGGGACTGCCCTAAACACTGTCCGAGGGGTGGGCTGATTGTTGTGCACACAAGAGCTAATACTCGCGATCAGTGAATGGACTAGAGCTGTAATCAGCATTTTCCATGATCTTTTTCCTCTGTGGTGTTAATGTCTATGTCTGTATCATATCTTGTACTGACAATAACAATTTGCTGTCCTCTAAAAGAATATCTTTCATTTGCTTAATGCGTCCCCACCATAAAGATAGCACAAATCGGGGTGATGAAAAAGCATGACATATGCAAGAGTAAATCCTTTGCAATTTTTTTAGCTTCTTAGTTTCTTACGATGCAAGGTACCAGTCTTTAAAGCAGTTGGCACTGATAATAAAATAATTAATACTCCTGTCTGAATAACCACTAAACCTTATGCATGTTTATTAGATCACCAAGCAATGTATGCAACATTTTTATAGATAACAGAAGCCCCCCTCCTTTAAATAAGACTGAATACATTTATCTTATGCATCAATGAGGCTGAAAGGAATCCTAAAATCAAATGAAATCAATGATCATAGCTGTCTGATTCAAAAATGGTGCAAGTCCCATTGAGTTTCAACCCATAGTTTGAAGTTTTTCTTCCCTTTTATTTTACTGTGTTTATCATACATATTATCTATGAAATTGCAATAGGACGCCGACAAAATAGGACTTTTCCATAAGTGAAAAACTGACATCACTCTCCATGCAAAATGCAAAGGAAAATTATAGTTTAAACAACCAAGGGTATTGCACAGAGGTAGAGGGGAAATATCAACAGCTAAAAGAGCTTGAGAATTAGTCACAAAAAATATAGGTAAAGCTGCTGTGATCTCAAATTTACTGTGAAATGACAAAAATATCTACTGCAAATCAATGCACAGCCAGAGTTCTTAAAGGAGACTGACCCTGGTGGTGGGAGAATAAGAGGGTTATGGGGCTCATATAGAAGAAAGGATGGAAGGGAGAGAGAGAGAGAGAGAGAGAGAGAGAGAGAGAGAGAGAGAGAGAGAGAGAAAAATATTTGAATATTTGATGTATTTTAACATTCCGCAGGTTTTGTGACCAAATTTATGGAACTACACACGCGTGGGGCAATGCCACAGGCAAAAACCTTTTTTGCATGGTTTTACTGTGGCAATCACACCATAGGCATCTTTTCCGGTGGCAATTAGGGTGTCACGAAATGCAACACGACACCAAAAGCTGTCTCGTGATCAGAGGCGAGACAGGCCTCTAAGCTTCGCCCATTTCTGTGATGTAATGGGAATGACGGCGGTTGACAGCTTGCTAGGTAGAGGTTGAAGACCGCGACGCGCGTAGATAGAGGAAAATGGACACCGCCATCTTATAGAGCGGGAAAAATAGAAGGGGATAGCGTATAGTTTAAAATGCACCGGCCTTATAGTCACCGCTAAATGACGAAAATATAACGCGCGGCCGCCTTTCAAATTCAAAGTCGATGAGCTTGTTTACCTTGCTAGGAAAAACATGACACTGACCCACGAACGCATTTTTGCGTTCGCGAACTAGTCCGTGTATCATTACGCGCTTGTCAAAACGATATTTGGCTAATTATCTGTGTCTGCTGGTACGCATTTATACCTTTAAAGTCTTTTAGTAATGTTATTATACTTCAATTGCATATTTTTATATTTATCTATACCCTCATATCGAATCCTGCGCATCGAGTGTTTCACACTTTCTTGCGCCAGCCACAGGTTGACAGCTCACCAACCCGCTCATTTTGAGATTGAAAGCCGGTGAGAAATGTTGCGTTTCCAGTGTTGTGTTGATTCTGGGTTCTTTTTTAAGACCTTAACAGTGGCATCGAAGAATAATTTGACTTCAGTAACCATCCCAGTTTTATATCTGAGCCCATCAAGAGCTCCAAAGGACACAAAAGGTGATTAAAATCGAAGCAATCCCAACAGTACAAAGAAACGAGTTTCACGTTTCCGGATATAAAGGTATTTGGTTTATTATTTTACGGTGTGAATGCAGCTCTGTCTTGCCGTACATACCGTGGTGGAGAGAATGTGTCCTGGGGGTGTTGGGGGCTTGCCCCCATCAACCCTTCCCTCGGGCAGTGCCCGAAGGGCACGCCTAGTCACGGCAATTTATATTGATATATTAGGTTGGTTGGTTTATTGGTCAATACGTTTTTGGGGGTTGGTACGTGTGAATTCCCGAAGATTTTTTTTGCCAAAATGTGGGTTGGGTTCCCGTAGATTTTTATTTATTTATTTCGCGTCAGTCCGTAAACTTTCAAAGATGGCGGTTACATCCGTAGAGTTTCATTGGCCGATTTTAAGCGCTTTTTGTGCTAGTTTTACGCATTTTTGATCGTTATTCTTCTTATTTAAGCTTGTTTTACCCCATAATTTCCCTGATATACTTCATGCCCTCCCCTGCTAACGGGACTATCAAATCAAGATCGTCGATGGAGAAATGGTACTCGATCTCCTGAACGATTCATTCGCAAAAGAAACAACGCCGAAAATCGATGAAATCATAGGATTTCATGTAGAAAAACATCATTTTTTTCGACTTAGTCTCTGCGAGGGTGCGTCGCGGTCTTCAACAATTACCGCTTGCTATTTTACTGTACCGGTTACTTTTCCGACAGGTACGCAGTATTTTGGAATATGATATCCAAGATGGCTTTTGATATCTTATGGTGGGTAGTGCGGTGTTATAGATGCCCAATACAAGTATGAATATGCATGAAATAACCTAAGTAGGAGGAAATGCATCTGGCAACTTGATTAAAGTTAACTGTCTACTCAATTCCTGTCGCGCAAGAGGTGTCGCGTTTCCCGTAACCGCTGGAAAAGATGCCTCATCTTCTGAACCAAACTGCATTTTCTGAATAGGCAACAGGTGTTCTTACTACCTCCCTGGTCTGTCTCCCTCTTAGATCAGAATTAAATTGCAGTAATTTAGTTGCAAAGCCATCCAATATAACGATTATCATTCTACTTCAATTATTCACACTGTAATACACATAAATCTTATTACTTTCAAGTGAAAGTTGGTATTATTTACAAATTGTCTACAAAGTGACCTTATTCCTTATGTGGTATTAAAACCAAATTTCTTCACATCAGATGCTATTCTTTGCCTGTGCAGATAATTTCCAATATCTGTGTGTAGTTTTGCACTTTAGTTAAGATTGCATCATCAGACTTTCCAGTAAATGTATACCAAAGTATTATGTTAAATACCATAGGCATTTTTTTTTTTTTTTTTTTTTTTTTTTTTTTTTGCGCTGTCTATTGTTATGGCAACCATAATCTGCACGAACTGCGCTATTGCTATGGTAGTGCCTTTTGAGCATGCGCGTGCATGTTTGGGTTCTGGTTTCACATTCTACAAAAATGGCGGCCAACGTGAATAACCAACCTAACCTAACCTATCCAACGTAACATAACATAACCTAACAACCTAATCTAGCCAGTTAGAATTGATTGGTCAGGTTGGAAATGGGAAAAGGCCTCATCAAACGTAATTGTCAAAGTGACCAGATTATGCGCATGCACAGTGGACTACCGTAACTCTAGTATAGGGATAGTCGAATATGGCTGCTCTAACTATCCTGTGCCCTTTTGTTTTTTTTATTATCATTTTTTATTTCATGTCCTTCTACCCATTACAAATAGTTTACCTTGAATCAAATGTGAGAAACAAACAATACCTAATTTATTTTGCTACTCTTAGTCCACTACTTGCACCTGGCAACGCCAAGGAATCACTCCCATGTTTATCCCCAAACCTGACTCTTTCCCTATTACAAGCAACAGACGTGACACACACAATCAAATAAAAAACGCTGACATGATGCCACTGGAGCAAATCAAAGCAATTCGTTCAAAACGACCTTTTATTCATCGCAACTTCGGCTCTCCCGTCCACACACAGGTTTAAGGGATAAAGCAATACCTCTACTCTACCATCACTTAAAAGCCATAACACGTGTTGAGAGTCCGCCCAGAGATCCTTCCAGGCATTCTAAACGGACCCACAAAATATCCCGACGAACCCCTTGGCTCTCGCGAGGCCTAACCCGCCACGCCGTCCCCCACGTGTGACGCACGCGGAGGCAGACGACAAAACACCGCTCCCGTTGGACCCCCACGTCTCCCTCTCCCGCGCCTTAATTCACCCTGAAGGGCGGACCAACCTCTCCTACACTCACCGGATTGAGCTTCTTCTCCACCGACTGGCCGAGAGACTTGTCCTTCTCATTCAAATAAGCGCACACAAGAGCCTTGATGATTCCCTCTTCCTCCGCCATGTTTGGTGTTGTGAGTGAGGCTGAACGTATACACTGAAGACTCGCTACAGGACTGGAGGAGAGAGGCTCGCGCGCTAGTCCACGGGCGATAGTGAGTGACTCGTTTTGGCTCTCTTGGGAGATGAGGCTCGCGCGCGAGTCGGCAAGCGAAGGCAGAGTGACTCGTTTTGGTGTGGGGAAGCTCGCGCGCTAGCCTCCTGAGGGAACGAGAAGGGGATATGGGCTTATTTTATTTTTAAAATAGAACCGTGTTTTAATTTTCCATATCATTTTAGTTATGCTAATTTTACCATCGATTAAATCACCTTCTTCTAATGGGAAGTTTTGGAGTTCCTAAAAATAATAATATTATTATCATTTATTATTATCATTATTATTATTATTATTTTTTTTTTTTTTGCTGGAGGAAAGGGCAGACTTAATACTTGTTTTTATATCGCTTGGCTTCATTCACAGTGGGTTTATTGGACTGAATATATAGATACTGCCATTCATTACAAATGTACTCGGTAGAAAAAGATACCTTATGGTTACATCACAAAACATTATGCGCACCCTTCTAAATGGTGTATTTCTATGGTTTCTTTTACGTAATTACAAGAAGCTGCATTCATGTACGCCAGTGATGTAACTCGACAGTGAAAACGTTTCCAGACGAATGATTAATCGCGCGAAACATTTATTATCTTCCATCGCTGTTATCTATCTCACATCATTTTCTCGAAAGTTACAATCATGAAAATTCAAAATCTCCGAATTCACGTAAATAAAGAATTATAAGTCTGAAGTTGTGTAGCGTGAACTGTGACGCTATTGGCTGGTTTCCTACCGTCCCACGTGGGTAGTGACAGCAGAAGTACACACGCTAACCTGCACGTTCTTCTCTTCCCGCCATATCTCTTCTCTCTCTCTCTCTCTCTCTCTCCCCTCTCTTCTCCTCTCTCTCTCTCTCCTCATCTACTCTCTCTCCCTCTCTCTCTCTCTCTCTCTCTCTCTCTCTCTCTCTAGCCTCTCTATCTTTTTTTTTCTTCTCCGTCCACTCATGTCGACCTTTATTTCGCGGCCCACGTGGGGAATAAAACTTCATTCCAAGATCCCTCTCTCCCTCTCTCTATTCTCTCGACTCTCTTCCGTCTGTCTCCACTCTCTGGTCCGAGTTCTGCTCTCTCCGATAGTCTCTCTCTCACATTCCTCTTCGTCCTCCCCCCCCCCTCTCTCTCTCG